TTATGAGGAAACGACAACCATTGAAGGTGATGAATTGACACTCTACTGTCATTTCATTGATGATGAACTAGTGGATGCTGAAGAAGCCATGAAAGATGAAAAATGGAGAAGAGCCATGGATGAAGAAATTGGAGCAATTGTGAAGAACAAGACTTGGGAGCTTGTGTCACTACCAGAGAACCAGAAGCCCATTGGTGTAAAGTGGGTATTTAAAGCAAAGAAGAATGCAAAAGGAGAAGTTGTCAGGCATAAAGCAAGATTGGTGGCTAAAGGATATAGTCAGAGACCAGGCATTAACTACAATGAAGTATTTGCTCCCGTGGCAAGAATGGAGAGTATAAGGATGGTGATATCTCTAGCTGCTCAAAATGGATGGAAGATACATCAGATGGATGTGAAGTTAGCTTTTTTTAATGGATATCTCGAGGAAGATATCTATGTGGAGCAACCCCCTGGATATATCGTTGAAGGTCAAGAAGATAAGGTGTTGAAGTTGAAAAAGGCACTATATGGTCTGAAACAAGCACCAAGAGTTTGGAATAGCAGGATTGACAAGTATTTTCAGCAAAATGGGTTCAGCAAATGCCCACATGAGCATGCACTATACTGCAAGGTGCAAGGGGGATCAATCTTGATGGTTTGCCTATATATAGATGATCTCGTCTTCACAGGCAACGATCCTCAAATGTTTGAAGAGTTCAAGGAGACGATGGTTCGAGAATTTGAGATGACAGACATCGGACTAATGTCATACTATCTCGGAATTGAAGTAAGTCAAAAGGAGGAAGGAATTTTTATCTCACAGAGTGGCTTCGCAAAGGAGGTCCTGAAGAAGTTTAAGATGGAGAACTGTAATCCTGTGAGCACACCAGCAGAGTGTGGACTAAAGTTATCCAAGGATGATAAAGGAGAGAATGTCAACTCAACAAAGTTTAGAAGCCTAGTGGGGAGTCTGAGATACCTGACTTGTACCAGACCAGATATTCTCTACGCAGTTGGATTAGTCAGCAGATACATGGAGGCACCGACAATGTCACACTGGAATGCTGTCAAGAGGATATTGCGCTACATTAAAGGTACAATTGATCATGGTTTGTTTTATACCAAGTCAGAAAATTTCAAATTGGTTGGATACTGCGATAGTGATTGGGCAGGAGATGTCGATGATCGTAAGAGCACTACGGGATTTGTATTTTTCCTGGGAGATACAGCTTTCACATGGAGTTCAAAAAAGCAATCTATCGTGACACTATCAACTTGTGAAGCTGAGTATGTTGCTGCGACATCGTGTGCGTGTCATGCGATATGGCTGAGAAAGTTGCTGAAGGAGTTGAATATGGCACAGGAAGAATCAACTGAGATTTATACTGATAATAAGTCTGCCCTGGCACTAGCAAAGAATCCGGCGTTTCATGATCGCAGTAAACATACTGATACAAGATATCATTTTCTGAGAGAATGCGTGGAGCATAAAGAAGTCATGCTGAAGTATGTGAAGACTGAAGACCAAATTGCTTATATTTTCACGAAGCCACTGAAGCAAGATGTGTTCGTCAAGATGAGGACGCTACTCGGAGTCACGACTAATTAAACTTTAAGGGGGAGTGTTGAAATTATAAAATAAAGTTTAATTAAAAAAAACAACAAAAATATCAGAGAAGTCTAGAAATGGTTTCTGTCTGCATTGTGTGGAAGGTTGTAGAGGGTGGCTGAATGATTGTGATTAAAATAATGAAAAAAATGGAGACCACTAGAGGATGCAGATTTTTGTGGTAGGTTAGAGAATTTGAAGCCTATAAATAGGGTCATTTGGAGCCGTGTATGATGCAGAGCCAAAAGAGAGAAAGAAGCAAATAAAAAAGAGTTTTCATTCCCTTCTCCAATCCAAGTCCTCTGCTAATCCACTTCTCCCAAAACAAAATAAAACCCTTCCCATTTCAAAGCTCAATAAACGAGCTAACCCCACCAAAAGCCCACCTTTAGCTTTTCCAATCAAAATGAAATAAATCATTTTATTTCCAACAAGGGTAGCATGCTACCGACAAAGAAACGAGAGAGTTTGTTATGCCACTGGATGAGCAGCTCTGGTAACGTACTCTCCCCAAAACACACTGACGCAAAACAAACTCGCATACAGCAGACAAACTTCCTCCAGTCCAGAGACAGAGGTTCTGTTTGCCAACTCTAGCTCTGGTAACTCTCCCAAGAGCACAATGACACAAAACACGCATACAACAGACAGACTTTCCTCGCGATCGAGGCAGAGGTTCTGTTTGCACACTCTTATTGTTGTCTCAAACGATTCAAGCAAATGTTATCAATCTGAAAGCTGTGCTGTAAAGCGATAACTGAACGGCAGCCGGGTGCGGGTGGCAGCTGCTAGCGGAGATGGGCGGATTGGGGGATGAGGCGATTGGCGAAAGAGTGAATAATGAATGTATTGCCCCTTTTCTGCTCACATTTGACTGCAACTGTCGAACAAACATAATAACAAATGAGCTAACAGTAAGATCACAACTGAAGAGGGGGATCGAGAGACAAGAAGCAGAGAGCAGTGAATCGACTTTAATTACCTTTTCCCTTTGTCACGGCGGTCATCGACATCATCATCATGGCCTGCTTCTTCCTCCTCCGGTTTGCTGTAAGAGCAGCCGATTCCCGACATGGCTTCTGTCATTTCATGATGCAATAGTAATAATTGCGGAGCAAGAAAGTTATTCATACATCCAAACTCACAAGTAGTTTTTGGCCGTGCTTAAGAAACTAATTCTATAATTAAAAATTCATCCACTCACTTTTACCATCCGAATCACTTTTCTTTCATATTGACCACTAACTTTATGAATTGTTTCACCGTTAGTCACCGACCGTTAGTCTCTGTTACTTCCGTTAGTTTTTTGATGACATGGCAAACGGAACTGCTGAGTAGACCGTTAACTTAACTGATATGTCAATTACAAAAATTAAAAGAAATAAAAAATGATGACTGTGCAATTCACCCCCTCCATGTCGACGAACACAACACCACCAACCAAACCTTTCGACTCTGCAAGACTGCAACTCACCCCCCTCCATGTCGACGAACACAGCGCTACCGACCAAACCTTTCGACTCTGCAATTCACCCCCTCCATTTCATTCACAGTTTCAGAAATTTTAGAGTCGACATTGGGATAAGGTTTCGAATCCACCCAGCAAAAAAGAACTCGGAAAGAACAAACTAACAACACGACCTTTTTGCTGCCGGCGGAGCCGCTCTCTGTTTAGAGCGGGGAGGCCTCTCGCCGGATTCTTCCTCTTTGACGCCAAATCTGACACGGGAGAGGAAACAAATTCCGCCGCTAACATATTAGGTCATCGCCTGGTGAGTCATTTCACTGACCACGCTTCGGAATCGGCCGTCGCCACAGTCTCCTCCTCGACGAAGATAACTTGCTTCCGCCGCATGAACCTGAGCCTGCCATCTCTGATTTGGGTTTTAAACTTCGCCACCAGTGATGAGAGGAAGAAAGGAATTGAGATCGGAGGTGTTTAGATTTTGATTTTGGGATAGTTTGGTGTTTGGGCGTTTTGCCAATTTGGGATTTTTTGGATTTCTTGAAGGGAGCGGCAAGTCGAGGGGAGCGGCGGCAAGAGCCATGGAATTTCAACACCGCTCCTTCTTCTCCGCCGGTAGAGACTGCAAACTCACGATACCGGAAAGATCCGAAGGCCGCATAGGTCGGGATGAACAGGGTGATCTCGGGGGCATCCTCGATGGCCTCGAATTCCTCCACCACTCCGGAGGCGGACAACATCGACAAACGGCGGGGAAGTGGATAGCGACTGCGTTGGTGTTCGGGTCACGTTGACCAACCCGAAATTTGAGGGCGCCCGACCCGTGCTCTGGTAGATCGTGGTGACAAGGTTGTCGGAGGGCGGCACCCGGCGGAGGAGGGTGATGGAGGAGTGGTGGGAAATCTCGTTGGTGAGGGATGGGCTGGAGGAGAGAAGATTCGTGAAGGAGAAGTCCGGGAGAGGGGGAGAGGGGAGAGGACAGATCGGGAAAGGAGAAAGGGTAGCAGATGCGCCATTGGTGGTGGGAGAAGGTAATAAATGAGGTTTAATATTATTATTTTTTTCAATTTACAGGTCATTAAATTAATGGTCTAGTCAGCACTTCCGTTTGCCACGTCATCAAATATTTGACGGTGTTAATGGAGTCTGACGGAGACAGACGGCCGGTGACTAACGGGGAAATGATTCGTAAAGTTAGTGGTCAATAAGAAAGAAAAGTAATTCGAGTGGTAAATGTGAAAGATTTATGTAATTTGAGTGACCAAACGTGTAATTTAGCCAATTGCGGAGCAAGAAAGTTATTCATACATCCAAACTCACAAGTAGTTTTTGGCCGTGCTTAAGAAACTAATTCTATAATTAAAAATTCATCCACTCATTTGATAATTTAGTTGAAACCAAATAATCACAAAATAATTCAGATAAACTACTTGCATAAACTTTTAAGTAGTATATTAAGTGATACTTTTTGTAATATTGCTTGATCTAATAATTAAATCAAGTTACGGATGAGTCTCGTATTTGATTAAATTATTATATAAAATCAACTTATTTTGCGGAACCTTTGTATAATGCAAATTGATGATATTGTTAATATTGCATGTAATAATACATAAATGAATTTAGGTTATGAAAAGTTACCTAGATAGTTTTTTTTTTTTAATAAACATTGCGTGTAGGACATGAAAAATAAATACCCCTAAACACTTGGCTATAAGAGAAAAAAACAGCTTATGGTGACATTGAGGGTAAGAATAGAAAAAAATCTTGTGGTATCCCGTTAAAAACAAAAAACAAAAAAAAATGAATGTAACATTGTCTCTATTTTTTCAAAATAAAAGATAGTAATTTGACATGTTCTTCTTTATATATAAAATAAAAATTTATAGTAATGATATAATATTATATACTACTTAGCAGCTATCTAGGTAGGTAGCATGTAATTTAAGTACCTATCTCGTTCTTGAATGTTGTTCGGACGTCCTTGAAATCAAGGAAAATGGTGGGGATGTGAGAGATTTTGTCCCACACCTCCCTCGGCACCATTTTGGGAACCTCCCAAGGTTTGAACCTGTGACTCTCCGACCAGCCAGTCGCAGATATTTCCAGATATTTCAGAGTGGTTTTCCGGAGAAGCAGATCCGGCACCTTGTCAAGTTTCGAGCAGCATGTCAACTCCAAATAACGCAGGCGGGGCATGACTGTCGCTGAGTTGATCATCATCCCGGCTTCCTGATCATCACGCTCTAAATCCCACACTTCCCAATTCCCTATCGACGAAATCTTAAGCAACGTGAGCTTGGGGAATGCAATAATCTCACGACCTTTGTTGTTACTCATCATCCCCAGCTGCTGCTCTATCAAACTACTCCCAAACAAGAACTCGAGGCCAATCTTCTTCACCTTATGCATGTCACGCAAGCGAAGCTCTTCGAGGGAGGGCAGGGCCCCCAAAGGGGGCAGATGCTCCACTTCAGGGCACTCATTGAATTCTAGGGAGGTTAAGTTGGAGAGTGACAGTAACCAGCTAGGGCATATGCTCCTTCCCGAGTAGTTCATTACAATCAGGTTTTCCAAGCTTGTTGATGATGGTCTTATGGCTTCCAACACTTGTTCTTCCTCGTGACCGACTTCTTCTCCACTGCTTTTGAATTCCAGAGATAAATGAGTCAGTGATTCTTTCTTGGCGACCTCTGCACGCTTCACCTCCTCACAATTTGTTACCTTACTCAACCCTCTTATTGTAAGGGATCCCTGAATATGGTTCATGCACTCTAAATCACCAATATTAGTTGCCCCCTCCTTCTGCTCCTCCCGAACTACTTTGAATTGAGTTAATGTCTTAAGGGAATTAGCTAACTTGACCATTGACCTTGGGAGCGCCGCTGGGACCAAGTAATTTTCAAGATGCTTTAAGTTGATTAGCTTATTCCCCATTCCACTAGGGAGAAACGCCAGCAAACGATTGTAATTGAGAAGCAAGCTCTCCAGATTATACAACTCACATATTTCTTTCGGCAACTCAACCAAGTTTTTGTTAAAGGACAAATCCAAAAGTCTTAAATGAATTAGTTGGGTTATTGTCGATGGGATAACTTTCACATCACAACCAAAGAGGACCAACGACCTTAAGCCTCGTAAATGAGCATATACAGGTTCAATAGCACCTCCACTCCGTGCTATGAAGCTACGCAGATAATCATTATCATTTGTTGAAGAGAGGCGTGAGCAACCGATGGAGACAATGAGTTTGTTGGTTACCTCACTCACATGTTCTACCATCAAATGACGAACCTCGTTGCTCATCGAGAGTAGTGAACTATTTGTATCTTGCTCAAGTATGCTGATGCACTCGTTCTTGCTTGTGAGCCGGGCGAAATCATGAACGAAATCATGAATCTTGCAGTATGAGTTTGCCACATCCCACTTCAAATGTATTTCCAAATCTTGAAAGAATGAACGCATAACTAACATTTGAAAGTACTCTTCACCGACTTCCTCCATGTCTTGGTTCATAGTTGCTTTGAGAAAACCCTGTGACATCCACAACTTAATCAGTTCATTTTTCTCCATTTGGTAATCCTTGGGAAATACAGCACAAAACTGAAAGCATTGTCTAACTGCAGAAGGCAAATCGTAGTAACTCAAAGCTATAGGAGCAAGAACTTCTTCTTTGCCTTGTTTCATCTGCCACATTTTACTTCCCAGAAGCTGAATCCAATCCCTTTTAGGGTGCGTTTGGATACAATGATTTGGATTTGGTATTTGTGATTTGGATTTCCAAATACTAAATCATGTGTTTGGATATTAATTACATTTGGTATTTGGATTTGTGTCAAATTCATGGGGTGATTTCCAAATACATGTCTAGTGTATTTTTTTGTCAACTTCAAATACATTTCAACAACTAGTGATTTGAAATACCTCCTAACAAAAGAATGGACCTATTTGTAAAATATAAAAAGTTTAGGTACTATAGTGCGAGGAAAAATATATAAAGGTACCAAAATGTAATTTTACCATCAAAATTTCAGGACCTTTTTGTAAAATTTTAAAATTTTAGGTACTAAATTGTAAAAAATAAATTTGGGTACCAAACTGTAATTTACCAAAATTTGTAGTAAGTGACCAAAAATTTAAAAATTGAAATTCAAAATCATAAAATACAAAATACAAACAAATTACAAATGAGTATCCAAACAATGAATTTGAATTACATGTATTTCAAATGCTAATATTTCAAATACATCCATTTCAAATACTAGTATTCCAAATACCTTACATTTAAAATACACTTATCCAAACGCACCCTTAGATCTTTTCAAATGTAGAACCCCTCCCAAAACTTTCGCGGCAAGAGGTGAACCATAACATTGATTTACCACTCTATCACATTGATCTTCTACACGTTCTCTCTCCTCAGGACTCCATCCATAAAATGCAATTTGCGTGAAAATAGCTCGACATGCATCCACTGATATCTTTTGTATGTGCAAAATATCGCCATCACTACAATTGAATGCACTAGAAACCTCCTTTTTTTCGTGTAGTCACCAATATTTTGCTTCCGGGTAATCCGTGAGAAACAGAAGTTATCAGTTCTTCCCACTTGCTCTGACTATCTTCCCACACATCATCGAGAACTAGAAGGAATTTCTTGTCATTTGTATGCGCGTTGATCCGCTCCAACTTGTATGATGATGAACTACTTTTTGGATCTTCATCGAAAGACTCCAGTATGGCTTTAGCGACTCTTGCTAGATCAAACTTATCAGATACACAAACCCATATCCTTTTGTCGAAATGAGCTTCTACTTTCTTATCATTGTATAGCATTTTGGCCAATGTAGTCTTCCCAAACCCACCGGGGCCTTGGATTAACAAACTTCTCACACCCGAATGATCATCACCCAATAACTTGCCATGCAATATTTTCAACTCTTCTTCTCTGCCTTTCACGTCAGAGAAATTGATATTGGGACTGGTTTGCAAACTCGAGTATGAAGCAGTCTCTTTGGGATTTAGAATGTACAAATTTTTCTCCTTATCTATATCGTCTAGACGTTCATTCAATGTCTTCATCCTTGAGCCAATATCATAGCGAAGACCAATTTCCTTAGGGGAGAAACAATAAGTAGGGAGGAAAGGGCATACTCGTTTCAGAAAATCAGAAATCTGAAGCAGCTTCACCTCCAAACAGCCACCGCCGGCAGCATCATCGCCATCATCGAGTCGACGCTTGAGGATCTCGGTTCTCCACTCGTCCAGCACATCATCGATCTCATAGGACACGTCCTTGAGCTTCTTCAGCCAGTTTTCGATACCTTCGTTCTTCAATTGCCTCTCTTCTGCATCCAACAGCAGAGCTCCGATGGCTGTGAAAGTGGATATGAGCTTCTCGATATCTTTCTCTGCGTCTATGACAAACTTCCCACGTTTCTTAACCTCTTTTATGGCGAAGTCAACCAGCTCCTTCTGGACTTGGGAAACAAGGGCTGCAGCCATGGTGGTGGAAGCTAATGACAGTATCGATTAATCAAAGCTTTGAGAAATTCATCGTTGCTCGAATCAGGACTGGTATCTGGGAGAGGAATATAAAAGAAGCGTTTTCATCAGTTTTATCTTTTATGGTCTCGTCCGTCACATAATTATAGTTAAGTCAATAATTAATCATATTTCAGCGTTAATTGCCATGCATTTTGTCACTAAGTGCTGCAACCTGCAACTTGTTCTCTTTTGGGCCCTTTTAATTTTGTCATAAGTTGAAGGCGGCTTCAACTATATATGTTCTTAGTCCATTTAAAATTTCTTATGTCATTTTATAAAACAAATAAAAAATTTAGAACAAAAATAACATTTTAATGATGAACATACGTGAAACAATTGATCAATGACTAGTAATATTAATTAAAACTTGTTAAATGTAATCACTCATAAACCATAATTTCATCGTATTATATATGACTGGATCAACTAACTGACTACAATAAGGACTTCCTAATATACGAAAGTCCTGTGTCGGAGGACCTCCCGACATATTCTATTGGCCATCCCTGGACCTACTGTTACATGTGGCATGACACTTTTTATTCATTGATCCTTACTCCTTGATGAGTGAACTCTAAATCTTAGTTATCTAAATTATAAAGCCTAACCCTACGATTGTGCATGTAATTTATTTTATATATTTCGACGAATCATAATTGTCGATTTTTTCTTCAAATTAAATTGACCTTAGTGTATGAGATTTATAGAATTAAGGCCTAGACTTTAATCTTTAGGGCTTAAAGAATAGTATCAGATGCCAAACTCCGGTTAATTCAGGTCTAGATATCATTTTCTTACTCAAGGTATACCATACCCGAGATTTTACCCAAACTAGGATAGAATTAGAAATATATATATATATATGGCAAATGCTAGCGTACGTCCGGACGTACCCTAGCCTACCGTACGCCCGTTGAGTTTTTCTATTTAGACAATGAATTAACCGGAGTTTGGGGCATGATATTATACCCTAACCCCCAATGGGTGAACCCTAGTCTGCAATTCACTAACCCAAAGCATAATATTCATTTAATCTTGAAATGAAGAACAACGGTTCTGATTCGTCGAAATTATTGTTGATTTTCATTTTAAGATTAAACGAATCTCATGATTTGGGTTAGAAAACTAGGGACTGGGGTTTATCCATTAGTGGTTAGGGTATAGTATCATGCCCAAAACTCCTGTTAATTCATTATCTAAATAGCAAAACTCAAACGGGCGTACGGTAGTCTAACGTACGCCCGGGCGTACGCTAGCGTACGCCTGCCGTACGCCCCATTGAGTTTTGCTATTTAGACAAAGAATTAATCGGAGTTTGGGACATGATACTATACCCTAACCCCTAATGGGTGAATCTCAGTCCCCAATTCACTAACCCAAATCACGAGATTCGTTTAATCTTGAAAATGAAAATCAATGATTCTGATTTGTCGAAATTTTTATTGGTTTTCATTTTAAGATTAAACGAACCTCATGGTTTGGGTTAGAAAATTAGGGACTGGGGTTCACCCATTAGGGGTTAGGGTATAGTATCATGCCCCAAACTCTGATTAATTCATGATCTACATAGCAAAACTCAATGGGGCGTACGCTAGGTTAGCGTACGCCCGGGCGTACGCTAGCCTGAACCATATATATAGTGATGACTGGTGTACGTCAGGCGTATACTATACATCAGGTGATCTAGCCGTTAGATGTGGTTAGATGAGCTCCGACCGATCTCAACGGTTAATTTTTGTTTTTCATTAAATCAAACTTCGGGTTAGGGTTTAGAAAATCGGTGCCTGGGGTTTATCCATTAGAGGTTAGGGTATAGTATCATACCCCAAACTCGATTTAATTCATGGTCTAGATAGAGATATCTCACTAGTAGTACCTGACATATAGTATACGCCTGACGCACGGTGCACTCACTCTTTTGGGTGCACCAACTCTAAAAGCGTCCATAATACATCAAATTTTGAACTTTAATTAGTACTCTCAATATAATATGATGATATGACATAGAATCATAACAAATCAATCCATTACCCTAACCCCTTAACCTTCAATTTTGAATCCCAACCCAAAATCCCAAATTGTAAATCTAAATCCCTAAATCCTTCGAATTAAAGTAAATTTTGAATGAATTTTTTTTTCAAATTCATGTGCTTCTTGTTCATAATATCACAAGCAACAATTGATACATGAATCGCATGGTCAGAATGACAATTATGAGGCGGGTGCACTGAGTGCACCCACAAAAGTGGGTGCACCGAATATGCCACCATATATATATACAATCTAACCCTTCATATTTGACTCAACCACTAAAACGCCATAGTTGCTGCTTCCTTTGCCTCGAGTCCTCCCACCGCCGAGGCTAGCTACGTATCACGTATGCGTTGTAGGTTATGGTAGTGATTCGTTACCGTTGTTGTAGGGAAGGAACATATACAACATGCCCCAATAGTGGAAGAAAAGGAGATAAAGGAAGAGGAAGACATGGGTTCTGATTGCTTGTCGACGAGGGGACCTTACAGATCTTTAATAATATCTTTAATAATAGTGATTCTTGTTAAGTAGGGGTGCGTTTGGATAAGTGTATTTTAAATGTAAGGTATTTGAAATACTAGCATTTGAAATGAATATATTTGAAATATTAGCATTTGAAATACATGTAATTCAAATTCATTTTTTTTGACGGAAAACCTGTTGGTAATATTAAGTAATCAGCAAGTCCTTCTCCAGATGAGAAAGGAGAAACATTGGGGGTCTAAGAGCCCAAGACTCCGACGAGTCCCAAATACAGTTTGAGTGGGCCAACTGATGGGCCGGTTCATTCCCTTCTCTCTTTGTGAAATGCCATCGTATGTGGCCCATTGCCGCAGCCCGATTCTTCAGCTCCTTCGCGACAACACCAGCCTCCATTCTCGAGTCTTCCTCACCCACCATTTTCTGGATAGCGTTCTGGCAGTCACTCTCCACCACCGCTGGTAAGAAACCATGGCGTTCTACAATCTGCAGCCCGAATTCCATCGCCCGAAGCTCAGCGATTTCAGGCGGCCACTGTCTCCGATCCCTTCTCACCGCCGCGAGGAGGAATTTGCCATTTGAGTCTCGCACCACCAGACCCAGACCTGTGCCCTCCCCCGCCATCACCGCGGCATCGACGTTTACCTTCACCCATCCTTCCGCTGGTTTCTCCCAGGTACACCTCTCTTCTGATTTTGGCTCCTGTTCCTTTTGATGGTGTGATTTGTATTCTTCCCATAGATCTAGAGCTTTCCCCACAATCGTCCATTCCTCCGCTTTTGGTTTGTTGAACATTTGGTTGTTCCTTTCATACCAAATCAGCCACAAGATCATCCCTAATTTCTCCAGCCTTTCGTCATCCACCCTGTCCATCACCCCACACAGCCAACTTCCTGCTGATAGTGTAGGCTCCATTTCGAAAAGATCCCTGAAAGTCGTTGGTCTCCAGATTCGACTTGCCCACTCGCAATCCCTGAAAATGTGGTTTTGAGTCTCTTCCAAATTGCAGAAAGGGCATTCAGTTGCCGCGTCCTTGTTCTTCTTTTCAATGTTCTTTCCGGTCGGGAGGATTTCATGAGCCAACCTCCAAAGAAAAATCTTCACTTTCGGAGGAATTTGAAGTTTCCAGAGCCTGTCCCAATCCATAGGATCATATACTTCCACACCTTCTTCCTCAATTGGTCCTTCCCCTTCTTCTTCAGTCATAACAGGGTCTCGATTACTTGACCTTCTTTTTGCAAGCAACCCATAGGCTGATTTCACAGTATATTCGCCCTTCTTCTCCGCACTCCACACGCGATCATCTTTTGCTGGTTGACGGGGAATGGGGATAGCCATAATTTTGTCTCGGTCTGCCAGGGTGAAGTTATTTTGAAGCAGGTTCCACCTCCATACCCTTTCTTCGTGGTTTATAAGGTCCACAACTCTAGTCAAGCCTCCCGATTGTGGTTTTGGAGACAAGACACGGTAGTCGTTTCCCTCAGCTTCTGCCACCCATTTATCGTTCCAAATGTCAATTTCCGACCCATTTCCTACCCTCCATCGAGTCCCCTCCTTGACTAGTTGTTGAGCCGCCATCATACTTCTCCAAGTGTAACTTGGATTATTCCCTAATTGAGCTTCCAAAATGGTCGAGTTAGGGTAATACTTAGCTTTCAGCACCCTGCCTGCCAAGGATTCTGGATTGTTTAACAGATTCCAGATTTGTTTTCCTAGCAAGGCTATGTTGAAATCATGTAGCTCTCGGAAGCCCATTCCCCCATTGAAATCATGTAGCTCTCGTAATTCAAATTCATTGTTTGGATACTCATTTGTAATTTGTTTGTATTTTGTATTTTACGATTTCCAATTTGAATTTTTAAAATTTTACAAAAAGGTCCTGAAATTTTGATGGTAAAATTACATTTTGGTACCTTTATATGTTTTCCCTCACACTATAGTACCTAAACTTTTCATATTTTACAAATAGGTCCAATTTTTTGTTAGGAGGTATTTCAAATCACTAGTTGTTGAAATGTATTTGGAAATCACCCCATGAATTTGACACAAATCCAAATACCAAATGTAATTAATATCCAAACACATGATTTGGTATTTGGAAATCCAAATCACAAATACCAAATCCAAATCATTGTATCCAAACGCACTCTAGTAGGATTCTCTCATTTTGAAGTAGTGTATGTTCATCTTTCAGCAGTGATTCACTGATTCTATTAGTTGTTCGTAGTGATTCGACAATCTGGGGCAGTCCCCAACTTTCCAATCCCCTGCTACGACCTTGTAAGTAATAGTGGTTTTATTGTTTTTATGTGTAACAAATGTATGCTTATGTTTGACCCGATTTTTTAGAGGTGGTTCTCTGGTCTAAAAGTTGAAGTCGGGCCAAGCACGTATCAAAACTCGGTTTTTTGAAAAGCTGAAAAATGCTTTTGTATAAGGGTTAA